CCCTTGTAACATAAAAGAAGAAAAGATACCAATTTGCCAGGTTTTCTGACCAGGCTAATGATAGTTAGCATTTTCTGAAGGTGGAAGGCAAATTGCTGTGATAATTATATTAAAACAAGCCATGGCTCTGTATTCTCATTCTTCTACCTTTGATTAAGAACAGTTTAGCTCAAGAGTATACTTGAAATTGAAGGGTTTATCTCTAGAATATAGGTTATCAGCTCTTTTTCACTTACCTTCAGTAGCAGACTAGCCATGTAAATTAAAAACTTTTGAGTGAAGGATAAAAATGTTTCATTTAAGAGAAGCTGCACTCCTGTTAGGCTAATGACTTGCAGTCTTCACTGAATAGGTATGTATAAATATTTCTAAAACAGGTTTTGTAGAAGGAAAAAAATGATAAATTACATTAAAAATCCACATATTTTCTAAAAAATCTTATTCTTACTTAATATGCAAGTAATTTCTTAACTGACCAATTTTATTTTTAGGGATCATCTATCTTCCTTCCTCTTTCTGGTAGCATAAAATAGTTTGTCTTTTTGTCAGTTGTACTGACCATCAATTTCTGTGCTCTAATAGCTCAGTAAAACTAGAATAGGAAATATATGCTACAATTCATCTGAAAAAGTCATCTGGAATAAGCTACAGGCCTTCAGAAGTATTTTCATGAAAATAAATTATATATTTTTTGAGAAAATAATCTAAAAAAATAGACAGAAAAAAGGAAAAAAAAAAAAAAAAAGAAGAAAGCAATGAATAAGGGCCAACATGATTTATTAACTAAGTTGTGTATCCCTTCACAGCCAGCTTTGTTGGACTCTTCATTTCATTCACACATACTGGTGAATATTGAATTTCGTGGCCTCTGTTTTTCAGTGTAATTTTTTTTGCCTATGTTACCAAGCAATGTCTCCTGCATTTATGTGGCAGCACTGCTGATAACCATTGCAAATTGCACTGCAGTTATAGGAAAGGAATTTTGAAATATGAAAATGTGTGTGAGAACAGTTGCAGGAAGATTATTGTGACACATTGTTCAACCAGTCAAGCTATCACCCAGAAAAAAAAAGTCAATTTTTTAGCTCCTATTTCCTTGTTGATACCCAGCCATTTTCCCCAAGAGTGAAGATTTTAGCTGCCATTATTTAAAGCTGTTTCACTTGTTGTGAAAGCACGAGAAAGAAGTGTACAAAGACATCTTTCAAATGAGTTCTACCAATAAATAATAAAGAGAACATCACACTCTTCCTCCATTTTTTTTTAATATGAAATACAAAATATTTCAAAATTATTTACTAACTAGAAGTAAATAGTATATAGATCAGTTTAAAGGTAGGAATGTATACTACACTGTACTCAGAAAAAGAAGCTTGAAACATGCATTTAAATCTGTTATTTTGATACAGAACATCATTTTATGTCCTTAGGATGCAAGTGAAGTTCTTAGGAATTCTGATGTCAGTGTTTGTGGGAGGAAAGGAAGTATCCTCCAACTGCCCACACCTTTCTCAAGGTACTTGAAATAATTACAGGAAAGGTYCAATTACCCTTTAAAACATTCACTTTCCTAAGCTGTGATAAAAAATACAGAGCTACAATTATAATTTGGTTGGAAGAGCAGACAGTCATGCTCTCTTTCTGCTATGGGGAGCCAACCTAAGGTGAATGGAATATAATCCCTTGTTCTGCTTTCCCTGGAGTTCACCAGGGTGATAAACCAAGAGCTTCCGCACTCCCAAGCAGCACCAACTAACCCACCCTGTGCTGCCACACAGTCACATCAACCTAAAACACAGCCTTGGGCTGCAGCCCCCAGCAGCACAGCACCACTCTGAGCAGGAGAATGGGGAGTTTACAGTTCCACCCTGCTCCCAGAGCACCGGGAAGAGGCAACACGAAGGAATGGAGCTTGGCTCGCTGCCACTGGGAGCACGGCACAGCACGAACACAGGYAGCAACACCGGAATGCAAAGCAGAATTGCCCTCTCTTTCATGATTTTTCCAATTACAAACCTCTAAAATGCCCTGCTTTCGCCTTAAATAACTGACTTTATCTGTTACTGCTTTCAAAAGAAATAGAGGCTCAGAATGGCAACATTTTCTTTTTATGGAATGCGTGACTTGTGTGGTCCCAAGTGCTGCCTGGTGCCTGCACAGACCCACAGACACCCACATACACAAAAACATCTTTGTAGTGTTGACACCCTGTCCTGTGAGTGAGATCACTAGGGAGAAGGGGCCTGGCTGCTTCCAAGTACTTGTTCATGTTGGTATGCAGACAAGTGAGGAATTCCTGTTCAGAACATAGGTATTTAAAAACATTTAGAGTCTACTCTAGATTGCTTTCACACTTTTGTAGATCTGGATCATAGTGTCTCAGATATATCCCATCTGATATAGGAAAGTTCCAACCAAAATATATGCTGTCCTTATGATGATCTCATAGTAAAGTCAGCATTTTTAATGACATTTCCCAACACAATGTCATCTATTTTAAGGCAAAGACCATACTACTCCTGTGGTGTGCATGTTAGATGGTAGGAAAAATGATAAAAAGAAAGGTCATGGCAATAGTAGTTTGAGAAAAAARTGAATGATTGGATTATTTTCATGGTCTGGATCAATAATGCTCTGCATCTACTGAAACACATTGCCTGGAGGCACTTGGATAATCAATGGCATAAAACAGAGGCTGCCTTCACCCAGGCTTGCAGCCTCTCTTGATCTTTCTGGGGAGTACTCTTGAGGCCTCTAATTTATGTCAAGTGCATATCAAAGAAATTCCAAAGAGCCTGGCTCATAAAGAGTGTTTTAGTGGTATCCATTTGAAGTCTACTTACATATGTTCCTTATGTAACTGTGTTTAAGTACTTCCCTCCTAATGCCTGCAATTCTTAGAAAGGCATAAAAGCAACCTGGTACCAGCACAACAGTCAGTACCTTAGAAAAGGAAGTGTGGTYAGAAGGGACAGATCTTCTAACCCTCTCTTTACTGCAAGCTGACAACAGTACAAAGACAAGAATTTCAGCCAACAGGGAATGTAAATAAACCCTTCAGCACCACCAAGAATTCTCTTTAATGATGTGCTGGACACTGACATTTTTAATTTAATAGAGCAGCCATTGGAAAAAATTAGTTCTGCATGATATTGGGGAGAGACAGTTGAGAACACAATTTTGTTCAGTAATTTCTCTGTTCATTTGCAGTGGAAAAAGGGAGTTGGCAGCTCCTAGCTGCCAAAACTCCCTTAAGTGAAGGGTACTTACTTCATTCTGTCTGTGGAGTTATTCTTCCCATCAAGGCTTTGCAAACAAGAAAATAATTCCCAGTGGCAGTCCCACTATTACACTGTTTACTATAACAGAATTCACAAATTTCTTAACATCTTTTAGCTACCATATTTTGAATACTTGCAGATGCACACACACACACTTGCAGGCACACCATCAACAGTGCTTTTCTATCTTCCCTACAGCTTTCTTAAAGAATATTTTGTTTCCCTTTAAGCAGTTGCTTTTCATAACACAAAAGATGGTGCCTACTGCTCTGCAAAGAACTAGAAAAGCATCTACCAGCAATTAGAGGAATATAGACTKTAGCACATGTCTACAAAAACAACATATAGTAAAAATTATGAAGCAGTAAAGCCGATGTATTCAACATAAGATCATCCATTTTCTATAGAAGTTGAAGGCAGGATAAAATTATTGCATTTATTAGATCCTTTTTGATTGTTCAACATTAGCTAAATTCACAAAATACATGTGCAAAAGTGATTAGATGATTCAGGGTCAGGTTTAATTCCCAAGGTCAAGTTACCCTTTTAACATTCTCTAAGTACATAATCTTAGCACAACCCATCAAAGAGATTCACACACACTTTTTGTCTGTTGCCTCTTATAAAACACTAATGTTTAGGAGATTAAGTGGACTCAGCTTTGATAGACAGAGCAATTCTTCCGAAGTGCTCAACCTCCTCTCAAACTGGAAACTGCCTAAGGCTGGCTTTGCAAAAYGTTATTTCTAACTTTATTACTGACCTGGACATTACTATTCCTTGCCATTTGAAATACTGGGTTTTGTCATTGTCTCCTATAGCGGGATGCAAGATAATGGTTTAGAGCATATAGTTTCTTACACTAAAAACTGTTTTTCCACAGGGTGTATCCAATCAGAAATCCACAAGCCTGAGAGATGCTTAAGATGGGCATCACAAGATGGACATCTTGTTGATGATGGCTGGACAAGAAACAATCCCTGCAGGTTTATGTGAGGACTTGAGGTCAGAGACTATGGACCTCCAGTGACTTTTCCTTTAGCTATTTCTGCTGTTCTCCCAAGCTGCTTGATCTCTCTCTAAAYAGGAACATGATTTCTGAAGGCTATTTGCAAGGTCAAGTGGAGATGGACTGCCTTCTCTCTTCTTCTAATGATGAAGTGCTAAAACTTATAGACATTCCTGCTATGCTCCAAGTACAAGCTGTATAATAAGAAAGTATTTTTCCTATTTTTAGCATTATGGTTTTATTAAAATCTTTTCCCCTCTGTTTTCAAAACCATTATACATGARCAAGAGCACAGATATATAGAAAATCACTAAATCACTCTAGAAGTAACACTACAGATTTGTTTTCCTTTTTTTAAAAAACAAAGTGTTCTGTCACAGTTATAACAAGACATATAAACCCCTTTCAGACAAAAACATTGAAAACTGTCAGAGGGCACATTTTACACAAAACTTTTGTGAGCACTTCAGGCTGCAGATGTAACCTAGGGGTGTATTTTGAAAATCTGTGTCAGCRAACATTTATAATGCCCCTTTTAGTTCCCCAGGTACCTTTTCAGCTGCATAGGTGAACACAGCACACCAGAAGAGTTGCTACAGTAGTGAATACCAAACCTTTTTGTGCAGAGAAAAGAAAGTTTTGCTGCCTCCTTCACACACACACACAGGAACACTCACACACACACTCAGAACCAGGCAAAGGCTCCTTACCTGATCACATCTCATCAGTCCCAAGTATCTGAGGGATTTGCTGCGCTGAGCAATCTGGGTGGCTCCACGGTCTGTGATCTCTTTGCACCATCCAACATCCACTGTCTCTATTGTCATGCTGTACCGCCCAATGGCTATCAGAGCTGGAAAGACATTAAAGGCATGAAACACACAGCTCTGGAGATGGCAGGCTCAGTTCCATGCACACACTGAATAATGCTCATAAAGTTTTGGGAAGCAGTCATCATGTATGTTGTAAATGACATTATATTTCATAATTCTGAACTATGTTGAAGCTGTCTCTTCAAATTAGGAGTACACACATGTGCAAACACATATATATACACTGACAAACATATTTTTCCTATATATTTCTCTATTAATCATGATAAATAGACCAATTAGCAGACATATTCTATAAAAATTCTTCCAATTACTTTTTTCAGAAGAATCAAGGACCAATTAATGACATTGAAATAAATATAGAATAGAACCAATTCTACCTCACTTTTCAGAGAAAATGACTGGTTTTATACGACTCACACTTTTGTCCCCAGGACACTAATATTAAAAACACAGCACTGACATTAATAGGGTATTTTCTGAGTCAATAAAACACGGTTTTAGAAAACCATGGCTGCAACCTCATGTCATATATTCTATACCCGTATTCAAAATTCACATTTTTTTCCATTGTTCAAATTGGTAGAGTAAGAACAACAGTATGTCTCACGTTCACAATTTGTCACAAACACTTTTCCAGCAAAAACAAAGGAAGAGTTAAAAAGGTCATAAGGAATTAAAAACTTGAACCTTTACAAAAGGAAAGGAAAGGAAAGAGGATCTGGAAGTTCTGAATGGGCTGAAAAAATGTATGGAGGAGAAACCACAAGGGATCTAAACACGCTGGGAAGGTTTTGTCATGACATGAGAATGACAGAAATGATACAAATCATTAGCACCCTGGTCACCATGGACTATAGCACTTTTCAGAAATATGGACTAAAGAAGTCAACCTGGGATTTATTAACAGACATTTTAGCAGCAAAAATCTCAGCTTAAGAAAAAAGGCCAATGTTTCTGGTGTAGAAGCCAGCCACCTGCATATAATCAAGGGGTAGGATGTTCACAGTTTTTAACTCCAGTTATAAGGCAGCTGTTAAAAAGGAAGCTGAAGGAGTGACTTACTTCAAGTAATGCGTTTATCTTTAAAGAGATGATTTTTCAGCAGCTGTGGGGCTGCTCTGTTTATGCTACATTTCCAAATGTTGGTGGAAATAAAAGGAATTTTGAAGAGCTGGTAACTCTTGATATACAAGATACCAATCTTAGCTAATCAGCATATAACAGATCTAGAAGCAGAGAAAAAAAAAAACAAAAAAAACAAAAACACCTGACCTTCCAGTGGCTCTGCAAAGAACTGTACTGATGGTATACAGCAGAAAGGGTAATTTGATTATTTATAATTATCTAGGTGGACTTGATTAGCAAACAAAATCACCCAAGAGGCCAGAAACATTCTCAAAAGCTGTGGAAGGGGAAGTAGTGCATAATTTTTTCTTGCAGCAGTTTGCCAAAAAGAGCAATATTAACTGAATTTTGTAAGTGACATAATGAACGCATGATAAAACCACCTACAGAGTTTCATTATGGTCTCATTGATTTTTGTAGGATAATACCAACTTACTGGTCTCTTTCCAGCACATCTCTTGAAAAAAAATGTTCTAATTTTGAAAAAATGTACAGCAGAATATAACTTTTGTACTTTTTTCCCCCCAGACATCTTTTAAAATAGCACTATAATAAAAAGTAGGGATWGTCAGAAACTTTCTGCCTACATTTTTAGTATGTAGGAAAAGGTATAGCAATTATAGATTATTGTATCTCCAAACAATAGACTTGAAGTAGTGCAGAAATACTAAAAGCTTTCCATTACATTAGAATATTGTAAATTCAACAATTTTGAAAATTTGCATTTGAACATTTTTGCCACTGTTTGTTACAACCACATTTTGTTATTTTCAGCAGTTCATGTAAAATTCAATAGAGAATACTTTTATGGAAGTCCCATTAAAGATCATCAGAACACACTGACAAAATCTCTCCCAAGATTAGCAGACATCTTTCTGGAAACCCAAATATTATGACAAGATTGTATAACGTCATACTAAAGTCATATACTACTACAGTTCATCTCTCAAACACAGAAAAGTATGCCATTTTAGAACACCATAGTGGCCATATTTTCTGGAAATTTCTATATGTGCAATTGCACCCTCACAAGAACACTCTGGGTCAGTGAAAAGACACGCTATTCAGTCTTGATCAGCATTCAGCTGCGGGAGATAAGGAATGGCCATGAAAACAATATTTTTCCCAAACGCTATCCTCACATGAAAAATGAGGCCAGGGATTTTCTAAATTTGGGTTTATGCCTCTGTACTCCCAAAAGTTGATCTCATCAGTCCTATAGGCCACAAAATACAATATCCATAACATCCTGTGGCAAAGAATCCTGCAGTCCAGCTATTTCCTCTTTCAAAAATGACCTTCCCTTGTGGGAAGGYTTCCTGACTTCTTCAAAGTACTCTGATATGATTGCGAAGCACAACCGCTCTCAACACATCTCTGGACATGTTGTATTTATTCATGTATTCACTAATCACATTCCATTTTATTACTAACTGCYTCTGCACAAACACCAGATTTATTGGTTAATATTTTTCTGATCCTCCCTAAAACATTTTTTTAAAATAGTTCTGCAAGGCAGTCCTGCGGTAGTCAGCCAGGTCTAAGTGAAGGATYAAGCGGTGCAGCTAGGAGCTTGGCTATTTCATCCTCAAGTTCTTTTACTGAGTACACACACATCTCTGCTTGTATGAGCAAAATACTTTAAGCCACAAGTTTCGACTAAAAATGTTTCCTTTGCTCTACAGCTTTTCTTCCTCTCTGCATTTGCCCACAATAACCAAAAGACACTGCTATTCTTCAAAAGCCTGGCAGTAATTTAACAAGGAAGCACACAGCAAAACCTTTACAGACTAAGTTTGGATGCTGTGACTGGAGAACATGTAGCACAATCAGCAGAGAATAGTCAAATATGTGTTTGAACTCTAATGACAGCCAGCCTGACATGGTCAGAGATCAAAGGAAAGAACCTGACACACTGAAATTAAGTAGAAAAGGATACACAAAATCCTCTGTGTAGTTTGAAGATGTTGGCTTTGACATATGAACCTCCCTTTTGTTTTGAATAATTAACATCCAATTCTTTTTTCTCCTTTTTATAGTCCCATTTATTTTGGCAAAAGCAAGATATCATATTTCTTTTTCCAGTGCTACACTTGTGGAACGGAAATCAACTGATGTACAGCTCCTACTCTACAGAAGATGAAGTGTATTGTCTCCAACTAGAATTGGAAAATAACCCCTACAGCCTTGAGCTGTATCAAGCAGAACTGTTTTCTGGTTGTAATGGTACTCCGCTRTAGCTGAAAGGACCAGGTCTGTAGAAAAGGGTAGCGTCTTTCAGATGATCAGCTCCAACAGCTGGGAAAACCAGATAAATTTTGTCCTTAGTGAACTACCACTAAGAGCAAATAGCAAGCTAACCTCACTTCATTTTAAACAGATGTAGTTAAACYGACACAGGTAAATGCACCTGTTACTACAGACAGAAATGTCTGTCAGAGGAAAGGTCCCTGTTCAACAATGCACAACCTGTGAAACCAGCRGCTGCTATGTGGGTGCTGCCATGAAACTTAAGGTTGCTACAACATTAAAATAGCATACATATCATTGGTATAACAACTGGTATTTGGACCACTCTTAATTTAATTTGAAGTTATTTTTATGTCTGGAAAACAATACTCTGGGTTTTGCATATTACCAAATATAACTGGAAATCTGGTGTACTGAACATAATCATGTCAAATTAAAAATATTTTTACTACCATTCACCTACCACACCTACTACACAAAGGGAGCAAAAGTGCTCCCTTGATCAAKAAATCCTATTTCAATTTAACTGAAAATAAGCCCCTGTGAGGTTGAACTGTGTTGCTGTTTTCTTCCTGTTATCACCTAAAATATGCAAATGTGCAAGGCACTGCATTTGGTTAGCCTTCAGTGAGGACTGGACAGAAATGTTTAAAAAAAATTATTATGATTGATATCATCCTTACACCAGGGCATTACACATACATCTGCATTCATGCAAAAACCATTTTATTTATTTCTTTTTCCATTAATGTTAAAAGCACTTAAATGTGCAAGAATTAGAATTTAAATTTTCCAGTCTCTCTAAGGGTTTTACACAGAGGAGAAATCAATCAGTCAGCCAAGGCTTACCAAGTAATAGTCTTCTTACAGAACTTTCCATTTTCTTCTTATTTTAATATGTATATATTAAGCAATCCATACATATAAAGAGTATTTATCTATTAATACCTATATAAGGACAAATAAATTATATTAAATAATATATTGTATTATCTTTTATCATTTAGCCAAAAGCTATTAAGATAGCTTTGACAGTCATCTGCTAGCATGAAAAGCTAGAAGTTTATGAGAGTTAAAACTGCAATAAGCAAATGTAAAAAAATTAGCAACACCCCCCCCCCCCACCCCCCCCCATTTAGGTGTTAAAAAATGGTCTAACTTAGGGGACTTTTAAATATTCTTCTGCTGTTGTTGGTGTTATGGAGTTACTCTCATTTGCCTGAGCTATTTTAAATACAAGTGGACAAAGCCCTGTAGGGAAGAAAATGTTGTACAAGACAGACCAAAATAAGGCAACTTAAACAGTCTTTTCTATCTTTCATTTATGTTGTTCGATTGAGTTAGAAACAAAAGAGAAAGATTAAAAGCATGCAGGTAAATCTGAATGCATTGAAGATTTAGCAGTCAGCAAAATTAGTTTGATATTTCATTTCCAGTGATTTGTGGTTACGAACTTAAAAAATAGCGCACAATTAGACACAAACACTTGACAATTGTAAAATACAGTTGAATATAGACAGTAAACTGCCAACTGATTTTAATATATTATCTACAAATGGAAACATTGCTTAAATATTTTAAAATATCTTCTACAGTACAGAACAGAGTAAGTATTGCTTATACAAAGAAAAATGCATGACTA